GATCTTCAACCTGTTTTTCTTTTTCTTATTACTTTATGAGTGGACAGGATAGGGAAAACCTAACTGAACTTCAATACCAGAAAACATGACACAGGCAAAATACTTTCAAGTCTGGAATGATCAGGTTGATAGGGATTGACCTAAAAGTTCTAGTGTGTGGGACACCAATCACCTCTCCAACATTCGTAAAACAGCACATGCCAGAGCCACTTTCTGAAATCAGGCAATCTCTGTGGCAAAGGAAAGGGGATCAAAATATCAAGGCCCACATGCCACTGGCTTGAGGTATGTGTCAGATTTATGGTGGCCAAGAAGACGAAAACCAGCCACTATTAAGGAGGGTATGTGTGTGCAGCATTCAGACGTCAGAAAGTCTGAAATTATGTGATCAACCCAGAGAGGTTCCTGGGTAGATGATAAATAAAGCATACGTTTAGGACAGAAAGGCTGAAAGCAGCCGGGCAGGGACAGAAACCAGCCCTTGAGCAGCAGCAGCACCTGCCCCTGCGGGAAGAGCGCCAAGCTAAAGATAGCGGATGAGTCAAGGTCATATGGAGAGGCTAGATGACAGTGAACAGAGAGGTCACTGACACAGGCTCAGAAATAGGGGGCCGGGGTGGGGCCCCCGGGATGCAGCTCAGGGCACAGACCTTTCAGAGAAAGGAACTGGGAGTGACGCCCCGCCCGTGTGATGAAGACCTGGGGAAATGGCTGAGAGGATGGAGAGAGGCACAAGCAGCGAGAGACACTGGAAACTGGCACTGCTTCTGAGCGGTCAGGAGGACTCTGGCCTAGGCCCATCGAGGCGGAGAGGCAGGTGACAGCTAACCACAACTCCAAGGCCAGTGAGCCACCGCAGACTTCATTAGGGCAGTGAACCTCTAAGGCCAAAGGTGGGTGTGTGAAAACCCAATGACGGAGACTTCTTAGCTTTCCTGGCTCTTCTTGGTACCACTTACATCCCACTTTCTCTCCCATTTGGCGGACCCCCTTCCAACTTATACAGTCGCCATCCACCAAGTCACAGCTCTAGCCACCACCAGTGGTGCCCCTTGCTTTGGGGGGGGGGCAGGGCTCTGCTCAACTGTGCCATCATCAAGCTTGGTTTACCGGCATGTGTAAATGGCCCCACATCTGTGGCCATCACTAAGTTCAAATCCCAGCCCTTCCTCACCAGTTCTGGTACCTTGAGGGCACTATCGTAACATCTCTGAATTTTTTCACCTAAAGTGATAAAACATTTAAATACCTATGCAGGAGTGCTGAAAGAATCGTATGGGGTTTAATACATACAAAGCCCTCACATACAGGGTGTGTGATTGTAGTCTAGAACTGGAAGTGGTTATCATTCATTCTCAGTTGTCTTCTCCCTTAAAACATACATACATACATACATACATACATAAATATCCTGTTTGGACTACTGCCTCCTCTCCTCTCCTTTGCTCTACGTACTGGAGGTCAGACCATGCATAGTAGGCAAGCGCCTTACCACTGAGCTGCATCCTCAGCCCATTCCTCTCCCTTTGAAAAACCTTCAAATCTTTTTCCCTACCCAAGTATCAAAGGCCTCATCATGCTCCATCTTGCCCATTAGGAGAGAAATCAAGTTGATAATGCCACTGAAACAAAAGGGTCACACTTCATATTCCAAACTCTAAACAGCAACGTGGATGACAGGATTGGGAAATGATTACATAAAGGAATAATCTGGGGAGTGAGAACCCCCAGTAGGTAGGTTGTCCTTACAGCATATTTTCTAGCTAAGTATCATTCCTTCTCCTTCTGAGTAAGAGGAGCCTCATCTGGCTTTGCTGCTACATCTCTACATGCTTCTTTTTATGCTAATTCAATCTAATTTGAAGGCAACTGGTGTAACCAAGAAAACTCGATCCACCTCTTTCTTCATGGCTCTGCCACCCCACAGCATACGAGTGCCAAGAGACACTGGTAAACTTTTCCAACTAGCATTTTGCCCAGACAATGGGCTGAGTGGAAATTGAATGAAACAGATAAGGTCTGATGACTCATGTTTCAAAATAAATTTCTAGTTAAATACAGCCTCAAAGGCTAATCACTAGATGCAGAGCACCCCAGTTAGAAACAGGACACTCACTACAATCAACAATGCCCTGCAGGATCGAAAACACAGGATCCTGGACACACAAACAGAACACAAAAGCTATTGCCACAGCAACATGAACAAATTTAAAAAACATATAGCAAATGTTTTGAGAGTGAAAACAAGCTGCAGGTTACAAACAAATGACTCTGTTCACACTACGTTTTAAAATGTGCCAAGCAGAGCTGGGTGCAGTTGTGCACACCGATAATCCTAGCGGCTCAGGGGGCTGAGGCAGGAGGATCACAAGTTTAAAGTCAGCCTCACTCAGCAACTTAGGGAGGCCCTGAGCAATGTTTCGAGACCCTGTCTCAAAATAAAAGGGGCTGGGGATGTGGCTCTAACCCTGGTACCAAAAAAAAAAGTGCTAGCAACATTGAACACAAATTAAGAATCTATGTATATGAAGTAAAAAATAATAAAGATAACACATGAGAACACAAAGATAACAGTGGTTTCTGGGGAAGAGCAGGGCGGGACTGAAACAGGGATGGGAAGAGGGAGCTCCTATCGCGTGGACCTGTGTCGTCACAAGGCCCAGTGTGCCCTACTCTTGGTTGATGTCTCTGCTGATGCTGTCAGTGTCATCTCTGAACTCAGGTCAGTTAAGTAGCGCAAGAGAGCAATGGGGCATGCGTGAGGGAAGGAGTCATGGTCACTCCTCGAGTCTGCCATCACTCCTCGCCACCCCAGCCACATGCAGCAGTTGAAACGCCTCTGAACCAAGAACTCAATGCCTCTGGCAGGGCCTCTGGGAAGGCTCTGCTATCGCTTCACACCAGCTCTTTTTTTTCAAGTGCACAAGGAAGGCAAAAATATTCTAAGAAATACTAACAACTAATAAAACTCATCATGGAATTGCTTATTCCTGTTAATTCCCATAAGCTAACCACTATGCCAAAAAATGACAGCATAAAGAAAAAAGAAAGATAAGGCAACCCAGAGTTGTTCTCCTTTGTAATGTTTCTTTACTCATTAGTAAGTCAAATATAGGAAGCATTGGGAGAAAGTTCCTGTCCCAAGAAGTGAAACAGAAGTTGGGTGTGGTGGCCCGGACCTGCAATGCCAGTGACTCAGGAGGCTGCAGGCAGGAGGACTGCACATTTGAAGCCAGCCTAGGCATAGATGCGGTCTCACAATACAAATAAAGGGTGGCGGGTGCAACTCAGTAGCAGGGCACTGGTTTAGCATGCCCATGGCCCTGGGTTCAAGCCCTAATTCTGAAAAAAAAAAAATTGAAATAAAAACAGTTTAATTAGTTTTGTGCAGCCTTTCCATGGTTCTGGGGGAAAACAAAACCAAAAAGTCATATGAGTACAAGGGATTGAACATGGATTGTGTCTCCCGGGAGTTCACTGTCATTAAAGGCCTGGTCCCAGAGAGGCACTGGGACTTTTGGGTGGCAGAAACTAGAGGGAGGCCCTTTGATCACTGGGCTTCCTCAAAAGATAGCTCTCTGGACTTCCTTGATCACTCTCGGGAGAGGGCTACCACAAAAGGAACAAGCCTAGCCCACCCTGTGTCTCTCTCTCTGCTCCAGAGACCCCTCACTCTGCCACACCCTCCCATCATGGCCAGGCACCACAAATTAACTGATCCAGGCACCATATTCCTGAACCTCCCAAACTGGGAGCTAAATAAACCTTTTCTCTTTAAAAGTTAGCTGCCTGGCCTTTTCCAGTAGTAACACAAAACTGCCTGATTTTTGAAGAACTGTGTCATTTCAATGACTCTGTACATGAGTAAAACATCCTTATATTGATATATAAAATTGGCTTTGCACAACAAAGAGATGAATGGTAAAAATTCATATTCATAATTTCATTTTTTTCTCTACTTAGGACAATATTAAATAGCAAACAAGACATGACACGAGAAGTTGAGAGCCTGAGGAGGAAAGGCACATCGGTAACTTTAAAGACACTTCCCCTGCTTTGGAATCAGGAGGAGCACACTGTCGTCTCTGCAGAGCCCGCTTTAGGTGATCTCCTCACCAGCATCTTGGAGAATGTAGTTTTGTCTGTATGCTTGGAAAAGAAAGGAAAAAATGACAAGCCCATGCCATTTTGAAGATGGGGAGGGAATTGAGTGAGAAATATTGACTTCCTTTTCTAATGTTCTCTGGCAGTGTTAACAGCATTCTTTCCCAAGACCACCTTTTCTCTATACATCAATAAGTATATATGGTTATAATTTTGCAAAAATATCTTGAATAAACTTGCAAGAATGTGTGTAGGTGTTCCATGCTACACACTCACTGTGGGGAATGTGCAGTGGAACCACAGCTCCCTCTGAAGCCTAGATCTGGGCTGCCGGGACTTCCTGAGGGCTCTCCCGGGGCTCCCCGTCGGGAACGAAGGCCTCTGGTTTCACCTTTACTTATCCTACTTAAGGCATTTCATAAACACTCCTCAAACAGCTAAGAGACACATGATGTGAAACTGTAATGACTGAAAAATCAAAGTTTAAAACAGATTTTCTCCAAAGTTAGAGAGCACAGTCCTTGAGTCGAAGAGACTCTGGGCAGTCCTACCTTCAGCCACTGCCCTCCCCACTCTAGAGAGCTGTGCTTCGTCTGGCACATCTCAATCTGGAAGGAACATGAAATCACCTGCAGCTTCCAAATGCTTTACTGGGAAAATGAGTGACTAGCAAGGCCAGCTAGTCCTGGTTCTTAAGATAATTTATGCTAACAAATCTTGGGAATTAGTGAGGCTGGTCAACTTATTTTACCTAGCACCGGGTTTATCTGTTTGCAGTTTGGGAACTTTCCTTAATAAATAATCAACAAATCCTTAAATTGGTGGCCACTGCCCACAGGCAAACCACCAGAGTGTTCTGCCTGTCAGAATGCAAAACAGCCAGGGAAGCATGGGTTGGGAAAACAGGAAGGATTTATATTATAAACATGTTACTGTCCAGCTGCTCATTTTCCTGGCTGGTCTGATGTTACAGTTTTACTTGATTCTCTGACGTGGTGGAAAAGAAAGACAATTGGCTTAAATTATCCAGCTCCATGGAAGCTGCTACACGAGCACGTAAGAAGCCAGGCTCATACACCAAGGAAATGCTCCTTGCTGTTCCCCATCAGAACAGATCCTACCAGAGCTGGGAGACTTTCTGGAGGAGGACAAGGGTTGCTGCCTCCGGTGTCATTCCTAACTTCAGGCCAAGTGTTGGGACGGGCAGCACTCAGCTGTCCTGCCTAAAGCGCCAGGTGTCTGCCTGGCAGGAAGAGTCGGAATAGGAAACCCGACAGAAAAAAACAAATGGACTGGGACGCACATGAGCTGAGGGCATCACTCCCGTCACACTCATGCAAAGAGTCCGGGGTAAGGAAAGCAGCCGAGTGCCCACAACACAGTATGTTCTTTTCTTCCGCAAACAGCGTGGAACAGGCAGACCTGTGTGTGGACTGCTGGGGCTGACATTGAAGTGACCTCTGAAAGCAAACACCCCAAACTGTTATGTAAACTGCAATGACTAGACATTCCCGGCCACCGCAGCACAGAGAGGGCTGTGTTGACAGCCTGGCACCTGGAGGTGGTGAGCCCTTCAGAAGAGAAAGGGCAAGCAAGCAAATCCTGCCTGACTTTTCAGTGAGGGTTGGGTGAAATTCTGTAAGTAATGGAGACTTAAAATACTTAAAAATTTTAGAGAAAAGCCTTATAAATTTGATAGGTAGTAACAGGAAGATTTTGCTATTTCAAATCTAAATGGTAGGAACTAAATGTAATCAAAACTGCAGGCAGCAGACTGAAAAGTATATAATGTAATACAGACTAATGTGTCATTAGCTCATGCTCACGACAATGAGATTAGCTTCCAATAGCATCATAATCAGGTTTTGGAATTTTGCTGGGTTACATCTATGTACAAGGGACATATAGCTAGGGATAAGTTTAATGCATTTCGCATCAACATTTTGAATGATTTAAGCAATGCAACTTCTAAAAAATCCTCTCATTTTCTAAACTGACTATAAACCATCAAACTCTTAAATACATAGTCCAAAAAATCCAATTTGAACAGTGGTTACAATGATATTGCTTACATTTTTTTTAATTTGACCAATGAAATTCAAAAAACCAAAGATTTGATTTTAAAAAGCCATATGTTTGATGTACTTCACATCAAAAACTTGTTTATTCAAATGAGTTGCTTTTTAAAAATCCTTAAATTCGATGAACTGATTGAAATTATCAACATCTTTGAAAGCCTTCCCATAAAGTAAAAAATCTAAAATGCATTTTGAAAAGTGGCTTCACCAAGGCTTGTTACATTTGTAGTGAACCAATAAGCTTTATTTGTAAAATTTAAAGTCAGTTTACAAATGCCGTGGAGCTGGGCAGAATCATGAGAGAGCAGCCCTGCATTTCCTTTGTGCTTGAGAGTTAATAGGATTAAAGCTTGAAGAATTGAATAAACCCTGAGCTGGTTAAGATGGACGTATCACATTTCAGGGTTCCCCATTTCATAGCGGGCATGCTCCACATTTGACAAAATAAAACACACTAGTGAGCTTATCTGAACAACTCTTTGAGGATACATGGCTTCTGGAAACTTTCAAAGGGAACGCGTGTCCATTTCCTCTTTGTGTGCTCAGCTCGCCTGTTCCGGGCTCCCCTAGCTCACAGGCAACAGTCCCCTGCTATGGTCTCCTTACACGGGGAAGAAGTATGAAGATGTCCGACGTCTGTATGTGAATCAGTAACTTCTAACTTTCACAGTGATGCAATTACACTGGCCCTAATCTTCTGTAAATGTAGCAAATCCAAGCTAAAATGCCCCAGGCCTGTTATCTTCCCCCAGATGATGTAATGAAGCTGGGGGTGCTGCTTTCTGCTATCAAGGTGGTTATTATCAAGGATAATTGTGGCTGGAAATGTTTGGCATTCCTGTCTAGCAGTAGTCCCGATTGTTTAGAATAGATTTTTGCAGAGGAGTTCCAACATCTGTCCATCTCAGGTCAGATTTCTGTGAGAACCTGGGCATCTAGTCTCTAATGGGACGTGCAGCTGTCCCAGATGAAACAGGAATGGTTTCTTGCATTATGGTGACAACAAAGGGTCAAGTTTAAAGTTAAGGAATACAAGAACAGTATGCAAATGGCATTCCCACAGCACAAAATGCCAATAATGTTACCAGTTAAAGGTAGACTTGGAGGCTGACAGAGCACCTCCTAGCAAAATGAGCATTAATTAGCCCTTTGTAACACCAATACGCCTATGGATTCCTTTCATTTGTAATCACTCATATCATAGCAATCCAGCTTGCCTGAAGTGAAAAAATTTATCAAATGAAAGCTGTACGTAAAACTGCAAAGAAATATAATAGCAAATTTTGGAAAGGAAGTTAAAAAAAAAAGAATTAAAAAACACTGTGATGATCTTAACAAAGACACACAAAACCTGTTACTAGGAACAGTTGTTTGGTCAAATTTCCTGTTTGTCCCTAAGCACTGATTTGTTTAAAACATGTTGTTAGTGCACAGTTTACTGCTGTTGATTAACGTTTCTACATGTAAAATCCAGAACAGTTCTCCAGGACTTCTTATTTAAAGATATTCCAAACAATGTGGATTTTCCCTTGCTTCCTCAGTCTGTGGTCTTCAGCATACTTAAATGATGATAAGCCATGAACCTAAAGAGCTGAAAATTAGTATGAGACACTGGTAAATTGCTAAAGTATGGGTTAATAAAGAGGTCATAAAAAGAAGGTGGCATGAAACCTCTTTTTAATCCTAAGTAGTTTTACTACAAGATTCCAGGAATCAACTGTGGACTGCTACAAAATAGGCCAAGCCTGAGCCACACACGTGTTGGTGGTGGCTCTTTGTTTTATTCACTTATGCAGGGGGAAGAAAACTCCTCTGCAAAGACCTGACTTCAACAGCAACCTACTACACAATTAGAATAACTGAATCCCACCATTGTGTGTGAAACGCAGGGATATAAAAATTCCTCCCTTGGGAAAGAAGTATAAAACATTCACATTTTTCTAAGTATTTTATAAATTATACTGCTTTATTAAGCACATACCGTTAGAAATCTCTTCTATTACTGACAACACTTTTCTTAATGGCCTTTACGTGTTTAAATAAATGGCTCCTGAAAATGTGCGTTTATATAATATAAATAAAACTGTAATATAAACATGCCCAGATATAAACTCTTTAGAAATGTCAGCTTAAAACTTTCCAGTCTAAATAAATCGTCTTATGAATGGTCCAGCAAAGCAATTTTTAACGCATTTTTCCGCCTAAAAAGCTCAGAGATTTACAGGCACCGTCCAAAAAGAGAAACCAAAACAGCTTCGATGAAAGCTGAATACCCCATTCATGCAATAAGCAATGCTAAGTGCTACCCAATAGAGGGACAGTTTTTGAGACCAACTAAGCCCATGTGACTGACTCTATAGTCCTTACTAATATCCCCTCACTGTCTTGTTATTTGTTTACTCTCCTATATATTGTCTGTCTCACCTCCTTGCACTGTAATCTTCCTGAGAGTAAAAACCACTGTGTTAGGTCCTCTGGTCTAATACTTAGCATAGCACCAAGCACATAGTAGACACAAAAAAAGCTACCCATTTAGGAATTTGTTAATAAGACTCCATTATTCCAAACTGGCCCATGTGTCTGCAAGTCTAGCTGCTGTCCCCCTTCTTCCTCAGTACTCCCACATTTCCACTTAACACATGATTTGCACAGGAATATAGACTACATTTCCCAGCCTCCCTTGCAACTAAGTGGCAGCTAGGTTTGAACTAATAAGAGGCAAGGGAAAGTACTTTGCAGCACCTTGTGGGAAAGTCCCTTGAAAGATAACTAGTGTGGCCCTTCGCCCCTCTTCCTGCCTTCCTCTTTCCAGCTGCCTGGGATGTGCATGTAATTGCTGGAGTTTGAACAGTCATTGTGGACTGAGTTAGTTGGCCTTGAGAAGGGAAATCATTAGCTTGAACGGAGAGCGGCAAGAGAGAAAGGCCTGGGTTCCTTCTATTGCAGAGTTCATTCCAACCAATTTCTCTAAGTCTACTTTTCTTTTACCCAGGGAAAGAAACAAACTATCTCACTTAAGTCATTATTATTTTGAGTTTCCTCTCACAGGTAAACAAACCAAATCTTACAATTACATTTTAAAAAAAATAATTTGAAAGAGGCCCATGTAGATTTTACATATCTTTAAAAATTTATTATTTAATAAACACACCAGGAACTCTTTCCAAAAGGGGGGCAAATACTTATAAGCACAATACTTTGTCCCCAGAACTAAGCTGATACTATGGGAGAATATAAGGAAATTCAAAATGAGTTCTTGTCTGTAAGAAGTTAATAACTCAGTGAAAACGGACATGTGAACCACCCACCCTCTCCCCCAAACACCCACCCACAGGTAACAACACAAAGGAACAAAGTGCAAAACTGCACACTGAGACTGTATCTGTGGGAGAATTCAGTGAGAAGACTGGGGTTCTGGGGAAGGTTCCGGGGGGAGCTGGCCTTGAGGGGGCCCTGCAGGGGAGCAGAGCCCGGAAAGGCAGTGGAAACTGGTAGGGTATCTCCAGAGTAGGGCGCAGCTGTGGGGAACCCCTGCTTCAGTAACAGCATATCATGTTCAAGGAGCCTGGGAGGAGGACAGCAGATAACCCCCCACTTTCCCAGAACATGGTCTCTCTGCCTTGAAAACAGTCCCCATAAGGGATGGCTTACCTCCCCATCACCCTCCACTTAAGAGGTGAATCTTTGCTCCAGATTATCCCCACCATATACTTGATGCTGCTTACGACCTTGAGCCTCACTCGAGGCACACCTGGCCCCTCCTTTCCTTTAGGGATCCTGCTCAGACAGCCCACAGTGAGTGAGAGAAACGTGCTTCTCGACACCCAACAGGCACATCTGAAGCCTCATTACACACTCTGATGAGATGTTTGAAATTCAGCTGTCAGGGAGAGGTAGTGTGCTCTGCCTCCCGCGCTGTGGAGGAATCATAAAGCAGGAGAATGACCAATGGCTGCTTCCAAGGTAGCAGCCAGGGAATGCAGTTACTCACAAGCCACAATCACAGGATAAGGAAGCGACCTGCGGAATAAGTTCCCTTTCAGCTGCTTCTGGTCAACAAAACCATTGCTGAGGTATTTAAAACCCCACCAAACACCTTTGAGGAAAAGAACACCATCCAGTCTAACAAAAACCTTGGGCACTGTCTTCACCCAGGGAGCTTCTTCAGAAGCGCAGAAACTGTCAGAGCACCCAGGAGCCCATATAAGGTGAGTTAAGCAGAAGAGCTACTGTGGAATCCAGGCAGGACCAGGCCTACTGTTGAGAAATGAAGCACTGACTTATGAGACGGCTGAAAGTATAACCAATCACATCAGTTTTATAACAGGGCCTCAGAAGCAATGAGTAAGATCTCTGGGGTCTAATCTTAGACACATGAAATCAAACTTGACTTTTTCCAAAACTGGGCCTAAAATGGCTGACAACACTTTTCTCAATGGCCTTTACAGGTTTAAGTGAATGGCTCCTGAAAACGTGCATTTATATTATATAAATAAAACCTTAATATAGACATGCTCAGATATAAACTCTTCAGAGGTGTCAAGTTATAGGCACTGTCCTGTAAGTTTTCTCCCCACTTCATAAGTGAGTAAACAAAGAGCCACAGTGACATTGCTCCTGGAGGCCTGGAGGAGCAGGACCAAGTGGTCCAGGTGTGAGGACACTGAGTACTGTGGTTTGGCTCTGCCACCAGGGAACTCGGTGTGGATTTGGTTTTCTTCATCTGTAAATTACAGGAGCTTGACTGGAGATGCTCTGGCCCTGGACTCTCGGGCTCCGACAACGACCCTACACCCTTGACAGATGACACACGAGGCAGAGGGGGTATGTGTTCCTCTCTACGTCTTTTCTTCCCATTGCCATTTCTCCATATGCCCCAAATCATGCTAATTTGCCAATTAATAAGCAGCCAGCCTCAGTTGCAGTCTCCTCCAAAGCTTGGCGAATTTCATGCTTCTCTGGTGACAGCAGCAGTTGCTACTCTCCCCAAACCACATCTTTCCCTTCGTCATGAGGCCTCCTTGCTGGCCACAATTTGCCTTGGCCAAAGATTCCCCCAACGTCAGCTTCTACCAGAAACTGCCACCCATATGCACAGTTCTAGTTCATTAGTCTCTCTGAAGCAGATCCAGCTGGCCAGAGCAGTCCCAGGTGGTCAACACCAAGAATGTCAAAGCACCCAGCACACAAAAGCTGAGAGGGAGTGGACGGCAAAAAGAATCTCGTTTGATTGCCTCCAAGTTATAGACAAGGCTATGGTACCGTGAAACACTCATTCACCTAACACGGCCCAGCCAGCGCCAGAACCCAAGTCCCGGACTCAGCAGTCAGTGGGATTGTGAAACAGATGGTTAGAAGCTACTGAGATAGAAGCTACTGTTTATGGTGTGCCCTGTGCCAGGCACTGGGCTAAGTGGCTTCCTGAACCTAACATATACCAACTTGAACTCGGAATCTTTCCTGCCCTGTGCCAGGCACTGGGCTAAGTGACTTCCTGAACCTAACACATACCAACTTGAACTCAGCATCTTTCCTGCCCTGTGCCAGGCACTGGGCTAAGTGGCTTCCTGAACCTAACACATACC